GCGCCATAAATCACCGAGTCGCAGCCGGGACGCGTGAAGGGCGCACCCTTCTTCACGCGACTTCTTTTTCTTCGATAGGGCCGCCGCCCTCCTTCGCCCACCAAAGGCCCTCACCGAAACGAGAGTGGTTGGCAAACCAGTTCTTGTCCTCGCGACAAATGCGTCCGGGCATAGTTCACGCCTCGGCTTCGAGAGGAACAGATTGAAGCGCGTCAAACTAATTTATGGGGGAGGAGGAGGGACGAAACGGGTGTGAGTCACGGATGTATTCTGCTCCCCATCAATTGTTAACGTCGAATTATATCGATATTTTAAAATTAGGTGTACCAATGAAAAATAGTGTCGGATTTCTGCAATAGATGAAACATTCTTTATTTTTCAATTCAAAGACACTATAGTTCTTCACGAAATCAGTGTTCGTTTCTATGGAAATCGAGGATCTGTACTGATCCTTACAATCGAGTTAAAAACTTTTGTAACGATTAGGACATTTTTTTACGGAAAATGTAACATAACGAAAGTCCTTAAAATTCTAAATTGAAACCGTCTTTACCAATTCGAAATGCCTCCGAATAATACGAAAAGAAAGAATTTCGAAGGTAGAATTTCATGCGTAACGGTGAAATCGTTCGGTTTAATTTGCAAGACGATAATTTCATGTTAACGAGCAATTCAAAGGAATATTCGGGCGAGCGTATCGCTCGTAATGAAATACACGTTGCTCTATGTTTGCTCCTCCGCGGTCATTTAACATTCCTAGAGGCGTACGTGTCGTATTGATTCAGTGAATGTACACGCTGGGGCCTGTGACAGTAGTCTTGGTAAATTCCTTACCTGACTCACGGGAAGTACCTGTACGTCTTCTAGCCTATTTGCCGTCAGATAACATCGCCCTGGTAGGGGAAGTAAATTGTTGTGCCGCTCGATCATATTTTAGAACGACTGTGTGCATTTCCACGGTGCTGATACACGAACACGACGATCGTTACTCCGGCGATAAAACCAGGCTGCTTCGGTGATAACAGTTGTACCGATTCGTATCAGGTAGAACACGATCTCTTCACTCGACTGATTAACTACTTAATCCTTGATATTATGTATACTGAAATACGTATTAATTCTTTCTCGTTTCTACCATAATAACAGAATTTTTAATATTAATTTAGAACACGAAGTGAAGATTATGTTTCGAAAACTTTAAAGATTCGGTAGGTTGCAATAGTTATAGATAATTTTGGAATCATTGAAAATATCAGAGAAGCTCCCAGAATGTGCTGGTGTTCTCGAGAGATTTTAGGTGTTCCAAGAATTTTGTGAAGTTTAGACAGATCGAAGGGATTCGTAGAATTTGAGAGATTTCGGGGATCTGAGTTAGTTTTAAGGGATCTAAGAATTCGAAAAAATTGTGATGATTCTGGAAGTCCCAGAAGATTTGGGGGATTTCAGAGATTTGGAAAAATTTTGAAGCCCATGGAAACTCCGAAAGATTTTAGAGATTGCAGGAATGTCGAAGCTGTCGCGAGAAAATTTCTGAAACTCTTATAGTGTCTTATAATCCCCAAAACCATCAGAACCTTCAGAAGCTCCGAAATCCCTCAAATCTTCTGAAACCCTTAGAGCCCTCCAAACCTTCCGATACCTCTGAGCTTCTGTAAACCCTTTGAAACTACAGGGGCCGATTAAGCTTTTTGAAAGTTATGGTGTCCATTGAACTCGTCAGACCCTCTGGCAAGCACTGAACCTTCTACACATGTTAATGTTTTTATAACTTTTACTATCCTAAGAGTCCTGTAGATTTCCAAAAAATTCTCAAAAACACTGGGACTCATAGTAAGCCTCAAACGTTCTAATGACTTTAATTCTAAGAACTGTCTGCATCATGCTCTGCAAACTTGAATTAAGATCGTAATTAAAGCCTAAATGAATGACACGCTTCAATTCCTAGATGAAATTACACCTTATTGTTAAATAAACGAGCCTTTGCGATTTACATTCTGAGATCAAAATTCTGGTGTCGATCATTACCCAATTTATAACCACATCTATTAATCTTCACGTATACACAAACGTATGATACAGCTAGGTCTGTATGATACATTCGTCTGCGTCAAAATTCATTGGACCTAAATCTCTAATAAACGTTTTAAATTCGTCCCCCAACCGAGACTTCCACTCGGGACCCTCGATTCCGCCAGAACGACAGCGAACTATTAAATTTATGAATCGCCAGTCAACACGATTGGACGCGGATACATGACGGCAGATCAGTCTCACATACCAGCGTCGCCCCTACCCTCGGCAGAAAGGAGTGCACGCTAACGAAAATATCGGATTGGAAAGATCAAGGGTGTTCCATTTGCGCCAAGATGAGATCGGTCCTCCGGTTAATGGTTTCTCGAGGAACGGAGAGAGGAGCAAAGCGTTGCGAAACATAATTTGACAGCCCGTGAAAAGCACGTGGCCGCGTCGTTAAGAAACACGTCATACACACATGCGTTGCGTGTAGTGTATACCTGCGACCGAAAACGGGTTTATATGCGTTCTTGCCATTTACATACATGCACACCACCGTGGCTGATAATCGTCGGGTATATGTTACGACATCGTGTCCACGGGGGAAAGACGATACATCATAATTCTCCGGTGAAAATCGAATCAATTCCCGGCCGCCTACGTGCGTCAGGTACCGATCCGTGCGGATAAAAACGACGGGGGATTTCGCGTGAGCGGTAGCGTTATTCCCGTGATAAAATGACGATGGTCCCTCGATGACTTCTCATCGTGATCTCTCATACATCGTGCACCGGTTCTGATTCGTATACAATTTTGCAACGATGGTTCTCGGAACGATTCATTTTACACTGATATATTCAGAACTGTAATTGTAACAATTGTACTGGTGATTAGGTGCAACGTATAGGAACGGTTTCGTTCAGATGCACTGAATTAATGTAGTGATTATTGGTTAACTGTACCTAACTTATATTTTTGATTTATTTTTTCTTCCTGAATGGAGTATTACTCGCGGAATCATTGTTCAGCAATTATTCGCTCAATTTCTTTAATGTGCGAATATAGTTCTTTTAACCCGTTCAGGGCGGCGTGAGTCACAGGTCACTGCAGGTCACCGAAGACAAAATGGTTGGAATAATTATACAACTTAATGCAATGTAGCATTAGCAGAACGTTGTTTTATCATTTTTTGTTTCAAAAAAACAAGTAGGTATATCTATTAAGTGAAAAGATTGGAAACTAAAAAAGAAGTATTTATGAGATGAAACGCTTAATTTGTACCTAAACTACCCTAAGCGGACTTTACGTGAAAGAATACGTTAAAAATATAAAATAAAAGTTTTTTCATGGGACTTTGTTTTCGACAAAATCGACTTTGAAAATTAATTTTGTGAAGCGTGTAATTCGTCGTGGTAGTAAGTAGAAACGGAATGCAATGAACAGACGCGCTAATCAAGTCCTATTGCATGCGTGTCCTGCAGATATTCAAAGTCGATTTTCTCGAAAACGAAGTACCAAATGAAAAAAATTTTTTCTACACTTTTCACTTATTTGTTTACATAGATTTACCTCCTACCCGGTTGTAGCACTAGTTATATGACACCTTGCATATTATGTCACACAATTAACTACCGAGGGATCTATAATATGGATTGTTACCACAGATTACATAGAATTAACCGTCACTGAAGGAATCGCTTGAACAGACAAGCTGGACGACAAGAAGCGAACAGACAGGATCAAATAATCCAACAGGCAGAGTAACGTTGAAGCGGTATAACCCGGATGGTACTCAATTAGCGCGATTCTCGGTGAATAAAGTCAATTACGTTGCAACGGTGATGACGACAATTTCATTAGGGACGTTTCACAGGCGCCTGGTGTGCCAAAAGCGAGTTTTAAATAATACAGTAGGCGTAAAAAAAGAGATTGTCGCGGCGGCGTACATACACACATAGGTGACATCAGCCCGCTGATAAAGCATAACGAGCCGTGCGGCTCCGGACTCCGCTCCCCCTTTTCCAATTTTTCAATTTCCATTTTACGTTTCCCGGCAGCGTTTTCCGCGCGAGAGGACACGAAAAAAAAATCCACAAAGCGGGTCTCAAATTGCCCCGGCGGAAGGCCTGGAAAGTGAGTCATATTTCCACGTACACGAGAGAACCCTCTTCCAGACTCGGGGAACAAAAATATCTTACAACGTGCTGTGATAGGCCACATTTACCAACACTGAGTGTATGTCTGTTTGTGTGTGTGTGTGTATGTTGAACATTTACATCCCACGTAAGGAACAGCGAAAGAAGCACGTGTAAAAATATAAATGAGAAAGTGCAATATTGCGAATGTTAAAAGTGCAGGGAGGCTCCAAAAGTCGGACGATAATGACTCCTTTCGATTTCGAAGCCCCACACACACACACACACACACATACGAAAAAATGCGATCGGTAGACATAAAACAGTGTCTTTTAAACGCCGGGACAGTCCCATAAAATATTCTTTCCCGGCGTATATCTGCGTAACTTGTAGTATTCCAATATTTATGTTATAATACCATGGGTACCGTTCAAAAGAAACAGATTACTTAATGAACTTTCATACTTCCATAGGAAAATTCATAATTCGAGTTACTATAACTAGAGGAAAATAGGATACTACGCTACAATTTTACAAGCTGCAAAAGTCACGAGAAGACTGCGTATGTTTATGTAGATTCAAACTTTTAAAGATTACTATACTACAGTCAGATTAAATGAAGTACGGGGGTTCATTAATCCTTGCGAAATATTTTGCTGTTCTCTGGTCTAGATCCTTGCCATATACCACAGATGCATAAATCTGATGAGTGATCCAAAACTTTTGAACAGTAGTGAATATCAAGATATCATATGCATATTACCATACCATGTACAAACTTAATATTAAATAAAATTAAAATATAAAGGAAAATTGTTTCAATTGAACACAGTAATATCATTTTTTTTTGTGTATACGCATTTATTAAGTTTTTGTAGCAAAAGACATGGAATGAAAGGCGGTAAAAATAACAGTTATGACGATCACAATACACCGAAATAACATACCAACGCGGAAATAGTTATCGTTACTGACCCAATCTCAAAATTTTCCCGCACAACGTGTCTGGATCGAAAATGAATAAGTTATTGTGCGGGGCGCCTTTTTGTGAGACTGTTTTAATTATTTCTTGGCCCATTATACCGCCGACGACAGCACACACTGGGCTAAGTTGAGCGTATACGTCACCCCTGAATTTATGATAAATTTTATGATTAATTATTGATCATAACTGAAGACCTGAATACATTAGGAAATTAATACTCCTCGTTATACGTACTCTACTAAGTGCTTTATTTTATCCACAAGTTCGTACTTTTTAATAATAGATTCAGCCACAGTTTTGAAACTTTCAGAATATCTTTCACTGGGCAACGGATCTTTGTCATACTTTTCACGGTAGTTCAGCATTACTGAAGATGAAAATGTATTATATAGGAGTATCTTATATTTACTATCATTAAGTCTTATTGAGGAATGCAGGCAAAAGAGGAAAACAACAGAAGAATAGAAAGTATGAAATTGCAGAATAAGTACAAGAACGAAAACAGAGCAGTAGAGAGTTGTAGTTGATAAAATATAAGTACAGTAATTAAGATTTTAAGCATAGTATGTACATAGTTCGGTTAAAATTAAAAGGATATAAATGTACACTGTATTAAAAATTACAAGGAGTATGGGAATAATGGAATAAAAATCTTACACTAGACTTATTGAACCTTATTAGAACACTTACTTAACATCACATAATATATCTCTGAATCTTTAGGAATAGAAGATTTTTCGACATTCAAGATTAATTCAAAAGGCACAAATGTGTCCTTGTGCTTTTCTGTGATAGTTATGTTTTCAAATTTTTCTTTCTCCATAGGTTCTCCACTTTCTGAGAGCTGTATTTTCTTAGTTTGTACAACATCTCTGCAATGATTATTTGCTTGTCAACGTATTTCTTTCACTGAGATAGAGGCTTTAAGTCGCATTTAAGTACTTACTCTGCGTATTCATGTACTATTAAATCTGCAAAAGTATAACCTAGTGTTCCCCAGACATCACCAGCAAAGAATTTCACATTATGTTTCCTACATATTTCATTAATTCTCTTAAGCTGTGTAATGGTACACTGTGTTGCGCAAACAACATTGAAACTGCTAAAGAATGTATCTGACTTGTCATCAATGTTAGATGTGTCTGCCTCAATATTCACCATAGGATTTAAATTTTGTGCCCTTTGTAAAGAAGCTTCAGCCCTCTAAATACAGACTTTATATCAGACTAATGTACTCATTATATCCGAATTATTTACTTACATTTTTTCCAATTAATTCTTTAGGCGTTAGAAATTGAGAACAACGATCCTCAGCTGTTACATTTCTGTGATCCAAAAATGTAACTGCTTTTACACCAGCTAGAATAATGTTCTTTGCTATTTCTGCTCCAAAACCATTTAAGCCTATTAATAAAACTTTGGCTGCTCGTAAGCTGCAATTATTTATTATTGTAAGATAACGTTAAAATTTTTAAATAAGATTTTAAGTTAATAACTGTGAAATGTTTGTCCCATGCATATAAATTTCTGCTTTTATAGGTTAGATTCTAATATACTTGCCGCTTTTGAGATTCTAAACCCCAAAGACGAATTTGTCTGTCATATAACTCAGCTTCATGATCTGTCAATTCAACAGTTTGATTTTTTTCCTCAACCATTTTGAAAATACTGATTTCACACTTAAAAATATACTACCGCCAAAAGGTATTCCCCAAATTGTAACAATACTGCATCGAATATAGTGTAGGCAACCTAACAAAACATTATTTCAAATATACGAGAAAAAATGAAGATCATTGATATGGTATAAATAAAAAAATATTAAGTATATAAAATTAAAGGAGAAACCAGATTGAAAAGTAACAAAATATTTTATAAAATAATGAATATAATGTCTCAAAGTAAAAATATTTATGTTGGAGAAACTGTTTATTAAATGCCTGGGGGCGTTGAAAGATCTTAACAATCGCGTACGTGTACCGTGTGTTTATTTAGAACGTTTTTTTATAAAAACGATCTGAAGAAACCTTTCCAAATGTCAATACATGATTTAACAAAGCAGCACTCGTTAACCACGAAAAGAAAAATAACTTACAGGTATAATTGTGGAAGTTTAGGTTAAACGCAGAAAAAAACTGTAACAATAATTTTGATTCAACATAACGCCTGTCAAATTACATTTCCAATGAGTTATATTAATATTTTGTCAAATTATGTGGTCTATTATTTTTCATTTGTTCTTTGATAAGGCAATTATAGACAATACATATAAATAACGTTTCTAGCAGTAGTGCCCGCATACGTCAATAATAAAAATATTGTTTAAAATTTTATTTTTTCCATATAAATAAAAGAATTGTAAATAAAGAAATGTCACATTGCGCCTTTGTGATTTCTGATTATAGCTAAATTACTTCTTACAAGCTGTGAAACAATCTTTTAGTAACACTATTTTTAAATTTATATTTGTGAGAAATAACAAAGTAATATCTAAAAAGCAAATCTAAAGCTATTACAATTAATACGTGCAAGTAATTGTTTTTACAAGAGCATAGATAAAAAGTGCAATCAGAAATGCTTTTACACTTTATCAATGGCCTTTTAACCCAAATGTTGTGAAAGCTGATCTTTAAAAAATATTATTCACTAAAATGAAATAACATTGACCTTCCTTAGTATCACAATGGTCAGCTATTGTCAATGATACATTATATATATATTACATAGATATTGATATTTCTTTGTGATTTCTAATACCATTTGTTTTTCTTTTTTCAGGAATATACACATGGGTCGTTAAATATAATGATACACTGCTGACAGCAACATGAATATGCCTGAGGAAGAATATGTGGAGAAAACCTTTGTATACAAGTTTCCAACATGTACAACAGACCAGGAATATATATTGGAAATACCATTAAAAATACCATATCGTGGTTCTATCAAAGAACTCATGCACCGTATTATGTCAGCATTTAAATTACCATGTTATGTGGAAACAGATTTATTGCAGTCTTTGGAACATACTATTAAAGAACTATCACTACAATTTTACGATGAAAAAGCAGAAAAAGCACTTGAAAGTGCAAAATCAGGAAGCTCAGATATTGAAGAAATAATAAAAAATTGGGAAAAACTTTACAAAGAGAAAACAGTAGAATATGCTGATCCAATTGGGACAACTGATGAAGAGTTGTTTGCAGCTGCATACCATAGATTGGTACATTCTCCATCATTAGAACCCATTTTACAAGCAGAACATAAATTTGGAAGGGATGTTACAGAAGTCATTCAAATGAGAGACTCCCATTATGAGCAACTTACTCAAAAGTTAGTATTAAGACTATTATAAAATGTATATATAGCTTCTTTGCTATCCACGGCTTGTACATAAACTTGGTATCATGTGATCTTTATACTGCGTTAACCCATAACAGAATACTTTGTCTTTTTTCTCATATTTCGCTACCCTTACCACACTAGAAAAGAAAGGTCAGATTCGCATAATAATATCTGCTGTAATGCATGTATCTTAAATTATCACTTGTATTGACCTTTTTACGAAGACTATCAGCAGCTGTAGTATAGCAGATATTACATTTAAAGTCAATGATCTTTTTTATAATTTAATTGGCGAGGATTCTTTGTTAAAATCTGTAATAAGTAAAGCACAATTGAAATTCAAATTTTCCTTGTGTGATCAAGCTGCTAAACTGCAAATATAGTTGATCTCCCATATTTGTTGAAGCTTATTAATTTGTTATTTACTCGAAGAAGATTCAAGAGAAAAAGATATTATCAGAAAATTAAATTGCAGGCAAACTGAAGAAATGCGTAAAGCTGTGGAAGCTCTGGAGGCTGGTTCCACTGAAAAATCAATAAACGACATGGCTGGACGACACTTTGAGGAACAAAGTTTACTGCAGGGTCACTGGGGATCAAGAGTGGATGCCCTAAAGTTAGAACAAAGACGACAATATCGGAATTGGATCATGAGGGTATTGGAAGAACAGCAGACTAACATGTTACCAACTCCAGTGTATGTTTATACAAGCAAACCAAATAGCCAGATTAATATTTTGATAATTATGAATGTATACGGCTATTAGGGGTTCTCCAATGGTGTCGATGCCACTGATACGACCCGCCTTAGACAATTTTGTTCATAGCGAAGATAAAAATACTGCGGATTATCCGATTTTGGAGGAGAGTTTTACCATACACTTGGGCTCTCAAATGAAACAAATGCACAATATACGTATTCTGACCGGAGATGTATTAGATTTTTGTAGGACAAAGAAGAGCGAGAGTGGGTGAGTTATTTAGAGGAATATAATATAAACTTAATAAAGAGGGACATGTTCTTCGATATTATATAGAATGGATCCAACACCACAGAGGCTGCAGACAGCTTTAGGTTTATATTCTAATGATTTGTGTGGATTGGTACTATTGAGCGACAATCATTTAGGAAGTTACTCTGGCATAACAAAAGGTAACTTTGAAAATTGTTATTTTTTGTTATTACAATTATTCTCCTAATTCTTTCTTTTCTTACAGAATTGTGTTCTATATGTCAACTAACAACCGAGTTTCATTTTCCACCAATTGACGAGCAACTAGAAAAAGTAAGGGATGATGTAAAGGACGCTGTTGCGTGGAGGCAAGCGCATCATAAAGAAGGAAACGAGACACAGGTGAAAAATAGATGGAGAAACGGAAGAATCCCTGATTTATTTTTAAACATACTTTGAATGACTGTTATTTATAGACGAAAAAATCGACAACTAGTAAGAGCTTGCAAACAGGAGACGTTTACATTACAAGGCACTCGAATTTGGCTCAAGTTCATGTAATTTTCCACATGGTGGTTAACGACTCTTTGAGATCCGGTGGGTAATTCATATTTTTATTAATAATATCGATTCCTCGCTTGAATAAGAATTTGTCTGTAAATTACAGGCGACATCAATTCGAGACACCCGGCAATTTTGGGATTACGAAACATCCTAAAAACTGCTTGCTGCAACGACGTGACTACACTGACCATTCCTGTACTTCTTGTTCACGAAATGACGGAAGTACGATAATGTTTTATAAAACAGTCACTAACTCTTCGAAATGCTTATTAATTAAAGAATAATCGGTATATTTAAAAATTCAAGGACATGACCGTAGCATGGTGTACGAAACGAGCAGAGCTGGTTTTCAAATGTGTTAAAGGCTTTATGATAGAAATGGCCTCATGGGGTGGCGCCGAGTTAAAGAATCTACAATTCCTTGTACCAAAGGTAATTCATTGAAAAGAACAATATTTTTACACTAAAATTAAACATTCTACAAATATGTTATAGTTTATTTGTCTGATGATTGTTTCGCCGATTAAACAACATAAAGTGTAAGATGTATGGCTGCTATATCACCATTTTTTTTTTAGGGAATGTCTGAAGAAGTATTTGGTACTCTGGCCACGATGTTACCGAGCATATTTCGTGTATCGAATCCATTAGTGTTCAAAGCAACGAGTACCCCACAAACTCCAAAAAAGTGAATGACTGTCTTGCCTCTGTTATCGTGCACGCGATAAAAATATAATATTTGTTACTGTGTATCAGCCATTTCGGCCACAATCATTCACTACGGCTGATAATAAGATTTACATTCCGTCAATAAACGGCTGATGCTCTTAATGAGTTTTTTGTTTACACTACTTTCACACAAGAGATCATCCCTCGACCGATAGCTGCGCGTTATGTGATTCTATATACTCCATGTGACTACATTAACTCTCATGCCATTTTCAATGAAGCTAATCGTTATATTTATATAGTTATTTATTGAAACTAGTTACTTTTTAAATAAATTGGGTAGAGTCCAAATATACACAATATTTGAAGAAAGAAATTTCCTAAACATTATGCATTAAAAAATTACTGAGCGTGATAATGAGAGATAACGAATGTATAAATAATTCCTAACATCCTCACCAGAAATGACATTCATCTCTGTATTAATTATACTAAACACGCATAGGCGAACGAGTTATCGCGGCTATATCCTATTCGACGAAAGAAGCAACTTCGTACAAGGATCCCCACTCTTTACCTTCCTATTGTTGTTCTATATACTTCTAGCGTAATATTAGAAATATTCGAACTTTCAACTTTCTAAGTCACATGAATAAGTGCATCTTATCAGCATTTTACAGTATAACCAAACCCGTATCCATGATCAGATTGTTGGCTCCAGCCTTCCTCCCACCAATTTCCTCTAAAGAATAAATTTAATCATTACAATTTGTCACAATAGATTTCCCCGTGTAATTCTGCAAATGATTCTCAGTTTTAAAAACACAAGTTACTTATGTTCCCTATTCCATTGCTCTGCACTCAAATCTATCGCTGGACCTGGCCCAACAGAACGAAGGAAGAATTCCCCTAAAAGGACGAATGGTGGGGGATGTTTCATGCCGAGTCTTTTTTCGACCCTACTATAGACGCGTCGTAGCGTGAGCCTTATCGTTGTCAACCGCGTTTTTATTTTCCGTGGATGGAAGTTCGTAGATAGGTTTCGCCATTTCCGTCGAGCCTGCAATAATTTGTCGTGAATCTCGCAGCGACGAGGTACCGCTGCATTCGTCGCGTTATCCGCGACATTTTTTCCACTTTGCTCGCGATTAACGGTATCGTTGCGGGAATATAATTTAATTGAAAAATATACGAGCCGATTAAGAGCAACGCTGACCAAATAAACGAGAAAAAGAAATACAGGCAACAGCTTTGTTTAACATAAACCATACGCGCGAACAGGGGACGTAATCGCGCCTATATCGGGAAAAGAAGTGCGTTAGCCTCTCGGATTCTGAACTCCCCGTGAACGGATTAATTCTGCGCGCGCCTCGAAGAGCCGCTAGAAAGGACATTGGGAAAACTTTTTTTCGCCGTTTCTCGTTAACCGAACACACCGAACGATCTATTCCCAGTGCACGGTTCATGTTCCCTGTGTGAAGAAGTGGATGGAGAACACCTTTGTATGTACTTGGTTCGGGATACGCTGTGCACAGAGCTTAGTGAGCAAAGAATTAAAATAATAAAGTAGACCTCTGAATTTAATAGAAGAATCTTTCAAAGAAATCGAATTCAAGAAGAAAACCTGAATATAAAGAATCCAGTGAAGATTTAATAAGAAGAACCTAACAAACAAGAAAATTTCATCGAGAAATCAACAGTAGAACCTTATGGACGCTTTATGACGACATCATACAAATCTTGAATAGTTTCGTTTCAATATTTAATAGCTTAATAGATGACTTATTAACGAAACTGAATAATCTCCGAAAACGATTAATAGTTTCTTATTTGTTACTAACATTGCTGTCTGGTAAGATCTGTACCTGAAGCAACAAACTAAAGACTCTGTATACCCAGAAGATTATATTACACCGATTCAAGGGCCAGGTTCTTTCCCATTCGCGGACAAATTTATCGTGGTTCACGATTACTTTTGGTGCAGTGCGAGGGTGAAAGAACAGTTGCAATTACAATATAACCGGCTGTCAGGATCATAATAGCGTGTAAACAGTAATCGAAAGGCATCGGGTTGTTCAAACATTCAGCGAGCTTGCGACGAACGGCGGAGACGAAGAGAAAAACAGGGGAAAAAAGCGATTGTCGCTCCAGCAAGTGCATCACAATGCTGAGTAGTGCCCTCCTGCTCCCCTCTTAATTCGGCACCGTGATCGTGAGCAGAGTATGCCGCGGATGAATTCGTTGCCATTCCAACGGAACGTTGTGTGAGAAGCATAGTTAAAACTAGGCGGTCCCGTCTCTCGGCCGTTTCGAGGGCAATCGGAATTGCATCGCGTCCGTCTATCGCGGAACCGGATAAATTCATCCACCACCTGGACAATGTGGCCCCAGGCGATCACGGTTTTCGCGTTAATTGTTTCGTCGATCTCGACGAAGACGGTGGGTTTTTGCGCGACGATTTTTTACCGTTTTTTTTTTTATTTCAATTTTCAATTACATCGGCCCGCATAACGATTAACCGCGGCGTTCAGTGATGCTTTTATAAGATTATCGTTGTTTCAAAGCTCATTTTTTGTCGCGTGGTTAATGTTTCAAATTAACCGTGGTATACTTCAATAATTTGTCTGAAGTCACGGATATAATAATATATGTCTTTTTAAATTCAGAAATGTACTCTCCTTCAAATACAAACTTTTTCAACACGACTGAATAAAGAGTTATTCGTTACTGCTAAATATAATAACGATAATCTTGTATTTGAATAAATTTGTTCCGAACGTTTACGATATAGATACGTTACGATTCCAAAATGGCGCGCGAAGATTCGTTTCTTCGCGCCAAATAAGCTTCGGCCGAATTAAATGGTGCATCGAAAGTTTAAGTTATTTAATACTTAAGAAGGAATTTCTTGTTAATTTAGACGATAAGTGTAGAGTAATTTTTATTTACTTACCTTGATGGTTACAGCTCGATCTGTCAGGTCGCGGTTTGAAGAAAGAGGACTTCTTTCTAAAACTCCAGTCGCAGATAGTTCTAGCCGAAGTCACCGATCTCATTCTTCGGGGTAACCAGTTCGACAGCTTCCTTGACTGTTCCACGAATCTGACGAGTCTGAGAACGTTGGATTTGTCACACAATCACCTTCAACGATTCTTCTTCCTGTGCAAAGAGGAGTATAATTTGCAGGTGTTGAATGTCAGCCACAACAAACTGCTATACATCGACGACAATGCCTTCAACGACCGAATCCCGAAGCTCAAGATTCTCGATTTATCGTGGAACAAACTCTCGATTGTTAACGAAACCATGCTCGAACATTTCAAAGTAACCTTTTCGATTCTGTGACATTTAAATGAAAGATATCGCAAGTATCTTATTTCTATATGTTCTAAATGATTAATTTATTGTTTATAGGTTCTGGAAAATCTTACGATAGCGAACAACCCGATTAACGACGGGATCCACGAAAATGCATTCTGGAACTTAAAAGCGTTGCGATATTTGAATCTGAGCAACGTGTCGTCGACGTATTTCTCACTAGAGTTCTTCAAAACGTTAACTAACTTATCCACCTTAGATTTGTCAGAAAACCCCGTAAAGACAATTCCAACATTACCAAACAGCCTAGAAGAGCTCGACCTGTCCAACACTCAGATCACACAGCTCCAAAACCTCATTCTACCGAAATTGCGAGAACTGAAATTGAATAATATGCCACTTCTCAGAGAACTGCTTTTCAATGATCTAGAGAATTTAAACAGCTTGGAAACATTAACGCTAACCGGATCAAAGAAGTTAGTGCACTTAAGAGTTCTCAACTATGACGCACGTCTGCTTCCGCGACTGCAGAGCCTGTCGATAAACGACTGCGGCCTGAAAACCCTCGATTCTACCCTTCTGCCGATAATAAAGAAAACGCAGATTTTGAAACTGGACAACAACCCATGGAATTGTGACTGCAAAATGCAGTGGATAACTATGTTGAACGCAACAAAGAGTCTCAGCCGGGATATTAAGTAAGTAAAACGAATACAAAATTACTAATTTTAAAAGTAAATTCAATGAAAATTTATGAGATTATTAGTAAGTAGTACAGTCGGTAAGTGAAAATACGTTTCAACTACCCTTACAGAGATGTCTCTGCTGATACCATGTGATCATTCCTTCTCACAAACAGGACTTTTATGTTTAAAATTTCGACAATAATTTTTAGTAGGTTGTTCTTCATGCAGATTTTGCATTTCTATACATTTTCTTCGAGAAAGAAAAATTTAATTTTTATTAAAAAATTTCATGTAATTGACCAAAAAGTAAGACTTGTTTCAACTTTTACTAACTCTCTATAACTGAACTAGATTTACCAATCAAATTTAGGTTGTAAACATTTTGTTATTAAAATCCAGAATTGCTTCGAATACCATAGTCAGTGAATTTCTCCCTTCGTGCTTCAAATACCGTGAAAAGTATTTGGATCATTATGTCTGTAATAAAGACATCCTATTATCACAATAAATACATAAATGACAATAGGTTTAAACAGATATAAATGAATAAGGATGTACCTTCAAAGTTACACGGTATTATAGAGGATTAAACTTTCAATTTTATAGACTATTAAATTATATTCAGACTAATTATTAATTCTTCTCTTCATCGTTTCTAAGTACGTACTGTGATACAATGGCAATTCACTTTATAATGTATTCCTTTTAAATGTTTTTTTTTGTTCAGGTGTCTCACCCCCCAACGCCACCTCGACAAACGACTCAGCGAGGTGCCGAAGTACGAGGTGGAGTGCGAAAGCGAGTCGTCGGTGTTCTACCTCGTCCTGTGGGCGTGCATTTTGTTACTCATCGTGGCGCTTATATTGGCGGCGGGTTTCTTTCTCCTCAAACGACCGATCGGTCACTGGGAGATCGGGCGAAAGAACCGGGAGACCGTCAAATACACGAACGTCGATGAGTCCTCGAACGACATGGTAAGAATTCTGGCTGTTGGCGAGACAGTCGAACGGAACGGAGAATGAATCTACACATTGAACGACGAACGTTGCACAGGGTGCGGACAAAATCATTGCATAACCAAACAAAGGTTGCCTGTGCCAAAGAAAAAATTGGTGCATAAAATAAAATACTTTATATCTGATAGATATATACTCAGCATTTTTATGTTAAAAAATTTTAGATTATCTTACATATGATTTTATTGCAATCACTCTATGAATTAAAAAGTTGTAAGTTTGATTTATGGTTCTCTATGGAACTGTAACGAAGTCTCGATTTTAATATGTTCATGCAGTACTTGTTTCTTGTATTTGCACAAGGAATCGATTGTAGCGCGATTTCTTCCGAATTCCCTATAGTAGAAACGTATTAACTTAGAGTAAGGAATAGACACTTAAGCAAAAAATATCTTACACGTTAAGAACGACTCGATGTAATTCGAAATGATAGATTTGTATTGTACAAACTTAAGTACAGGGAGTTTCCGAATTACCGAAGGCGAAGCTTGAAGTGTGATTATGCATTCTACTAAGTCTATAATTTATTATTGAAACATGGAATCGGAATAAAATTTCAGGTATTATTCAGTACCCGTTATAAAGAACTGTACGATAACGTTTTATCGCTTCTGTGTCGCGTACTCGGAACTCTCTACGTAGGCTACTTCCTCCAGGAATTAATCTAATCCGCTGCAAGATATTTTAAGGTGTCAATGTGTGAACCCCAAACGGTTGACGCTTTGAACTCTCGTCAGATATCGGTGTCTGGTGGCAAGTCAACAATACAATAATCGAAAGAGGCGGTGGAGTTCACGAACCTGTATCGATTAACGCCTTCTTCTTTGTAATCTTAACATGCTGGCAACACGTATTCATTGTGATTTACTTGTCACGCTGGAATCCAACGGACCTCAATTTCCTGTTAAGAGATATTCGTATCTGAAGGTGTAAAGTTCAAGACCACACACGACCGGGAATAAAAGTAACGATTCAAGCTAACACTCCCGAATTCGAAAACATCATTCGAGGCTAATTCACTATTTCTACGTGACCAAACGAGAATTATACAGCGTTGTCCGCTTAAAAATAAAATCCAACGAATCATATTGTACGACGAAAGGCCCATCAATAGGCTTTGTTAAAAATGTGTTGTACAGAGTGTAAATACAGAGGCAACGTTCCAGTCATTTCCATCATCATCCTTTGATCCCCGGCGGAATCGAGTGATCCAAACCAGCGCAACAACAATGCAGAGGTCTAGTAGCTGTCGAATGAAGAACGTCTTTCTTTTTCTTTTTTGTCGGTGTGTACCGTCGCGTTTCTCGAAACCCTTTACCGAACCTCCTCTCTCGTTACGAGAACGAAATATCGTTCGTCCTCGGACAAAAGAAATATGGTTACAAAGCGGCCGATGGCTCATTTCCTCTGAAAGATTTTTTCACCGACACGGCGTCGTTTGGTACTACGATTCCACGCATCGATGGGCCACCGCCGTGTACCTTTTTCAAAATGGAACTAATTGAAACACCGCGAGCACCCTTTGCGAGCGATTCGAGCTGAAGAATTCTACGCGAGTTTTCGCTTTACCCAAGCGACGCGTGCATTGCTGTTTCGTGGTCCGGAGTCAGGGTCGGGGTTGAAATTAACCGCGCTTCATCGTTCGCTCGTCTTTGAGAAGAAATAAAGGAATGAAAGGATAGACTCTCGATTGGATGAATGGTACTTTGTGTTGTTGGAAGGTAATTATAGAGATTTACCGATAAATTCGTGTAACTATTAATTGTGAACTGAGAAGTGGTTTAGGTCTAAAGGTCGAAGCGAAAATAGATGGTTTGAAGAAGCTGCATTGTAACTAAATATGTGTTTAAACAATATACACGTACATACAGTTAATTTAACCCTTTCGCCAGTATGGACGTACACAACTTTTCAAATTTTTTCAAACGATGAACTTCAATGTCTCCTTCATTGGTGTCGATGCCGTATCAGAGTTAAGAAATTATAATAAACGAGATATGCACTTGGTTGAAAAAAGTGGTGCGATATTGGTCATGCAGTGGATGGTACGAACAAATGGTGCTATGAAGATCGTCAGTTTCCATGACGTGCACCGTGATCGCGTGCGATGTAGCGATCAGCCTTTGTACCGAAGTATGATCTTCCTACGGGAAGCCTATTGGGTTACGGCTACGCCCGGAGAGCCTTTCATATGGAAGAGCACGTTACGCCAGTAAAGTATGGCCAACGAGGAAAACACGTCGTGTGTCGCCGAATATAACACTTCAAAAAAGTTCAATTACACGTTTCACAATTCGATACTCTTCCGCCCGACGTGCACGCTACCACCATGTAATAAGTAGGTACATTGCGAATATTCATACGGAGTTACATTTTTTGTCGTAATAACAAAAGCTAATGGTAAAGAAAAATTTATTTCACCATTTATAGATTCGAATCCATTAAAAATGAGTAAACACAATACATGGTGCATTTTTCCAATAAACAAATTGCCTTAAAATTTCTTGGATTCAATTTGCTCCTGAATTGAAATCGAAAGAACGAAATATATTTCCCTATCGGTAGATTACAATATGTCTAAGCTATTAATGTCAAACTAATTTACAAATTTTGATAATAAAAAATATATTTACAGGTCAAACAGTGGTGGCTGCGGGTTAAATTGATGTAAACAGCCCACGAGGGTTAAACTTGATCGAAATTTTTGTCTTATTCTATCATCGAGGGCCTTTTCTTAGGAATTCGAATACAAAAAAATTAAAACAAGACAATGTCTCGCCTGAAACATAAAAGTTGTGTGCTTTTCATGAAGATTAAGATAAGGGGACCCCACAAACTAGCGATTGCTTTTCGTACCTCCGATCGGCGATGTAATTTCGTTCGGGAGAAGCTGCGGGAGCGCGTCAAAAAATCGTCGAACGAGATTGCGGGTGGTTCGGTTGCGCGAAGAGCTGGCAGAGAGATCGGGGTGGTGGTGGAGAGGCCCTGCTCGATTATACCGATCCGCGCTCAATGGAATATTGTGGAACTCCTTTTTGGATATTCCAGAAAGAGAACGAGAGAGACCCCCCCCCCCGGGGGGGGGGGATTTGGCGAGCCGGCGGAAAAATAATACACCGCCTACCAGCGTCGAGAGGCACGTCGGGACGTCGCGAGCGTGCTGGCTCGCGGAGAAGCGAATTTTTTTAACGGTCAACGTGAAACACGTGGGCAGAACCATGGGCCCCCCTGGCCGATCGGGAATATCGTGTTACCAGCCAAGTAAATACGAGATCCTCCCCTTAAGACTCCCTCGATAGCCCTGCCGATATATTTTCGCTGAAAAAAATCACGCTGGATAGATGATCGAAGATAAAAAAAGAGGAAGGATTCTAATCGACGTCGATGGAAGTGTCTTCGTGAAGTCACAAATAGGACGGGGAAGAACGTCTGAGAGATAAGAGGATCTCTGATCAAAGGTTAAAGTCTCAAATGGTGGATCAGTTTAAGTAATAAGAATTGTTTTAAAGTAGTAGGTAAGATTTAAAGAAACACAAGTATGAAGGATGTTAGTGGTGTAGAACTCTTGTAGAGGGTAATATATGCGACCTCAATGTTTCTCAAAGCTTCCCTAGTGACCCTCAAATACGAAGTTAGTCAAAATTATGTTAATCCTTGTATAGAAAACTAATTTGTTATAGCTAAATGTAAGTCGGTAACAAATAAGCCTGAACGTAATTTCGAGTAATCCTGTACAATAATTTTTAAAGTATCAAGAGATTTAACAATTCACGGAATTAATTTCTGTCCCGATACTAAAAACTGTATTATTCGTATGTAGGCGAAGCGACAGTGAACGCGTTAAAAACGTTCCGTTCCGTCTGGTTTTATGGGAAAAAATCAGTGGCGCCAGTTCACGGTCGGTCGATTAACGCATTCGATTTGCTTAACAGTCGTCGAGATGTATTTTCGTAGCGTCGCACGTTTTCTCCGATCACGATTCGTTAAACCAGCGCTCTGGCATTAACTAAGCTGACCTGCTAATTACCTCGTACCTCTGATATTTCACCCCGTTTCCTTTCCCCTCTCATTTTCCGTCGGCCTCCCGTTTCCTCCGACGTTCCGCCCACTGTTTGAAACGGCCGAGGTCAGCGGAAACGCGGAAAAAAAGGAGCTCGCGACGCGATTCTGACGCGAACGAGGCTACGACGCCTCGAAAATTTATGAATAATGAAAAATATTCGAAGCGCTGTTGCTCGAAATTCAGTTACGACCAACTGCACGGTTATACTTGCTATTATTCTAATGGAAACGTAATATATTATGATGACTTTATCCATATTCTTGCTGTGAATGGAGTCATTGCTTGTTAGATATAAAATATATACTTAATATGCTTTACAAATTTTAAGTTAATCGGACAAGTATGAAACTTTGAAAAAATCACTACGAAAGAAAGAATAGATACATCTATATTAATTATTGCCTGTGCCATAAATTTGTTAGTACGTAACTACCGGCTTGAGGGGTTAAAAGAATCTCTGCACCAAACAATTGCTTAGTTCTAACTTTTTAGAAAAAGGAAAATAAAAAAAATTGTCAATTTAGATATACCTCGCATATACGATTTTAGCCCAAACCCTGGATAAAACCGGATATCTACTCTGTCCGATAGACCCCCAGCATCTGTGACAACGGAATTCATCTAATTCTTTAGACCCTCAACCAGTTTATTATAATTTATTTACAGTTTAATACACGACAAATAGCATAATTTATATCATAAAATTATTCATCTGATGATGTCGGTAGTTGTGAAGATTTAAAATGATAGAAAATTATATTTGAGTACTCACAAACACAGAGAATATCGCAACCCTGGTAAGCACACGTGTATCACTAACGGCGTCTTTTGATGAACTGATGCAAATATCTTAAACATGTGGCTACGACATTGGGAACGTTCACAACCATTTTAAAAATAATAGTACGTCTGGGTTTTACCCTGGTACCTGATTTCGGGCGGG